TAAGCGCTATTTAAGGCTTGGAGTTTTCGAAAGATTTCAAGCTCGGCAATTGTGTTTTTCTTGTGGTTTTTTTTAAAAAAACGATCAATTATGCCTCGTAGTAAACATCGATCATCGTTTGATGAAGTATCCGAGTTCGACTGAGCAAGGATAGTGGCCTACCGAGAGTGTGGATTATCCTTTCAAGGAAATCGGTAGTCGTGTTGGACGAAACCAAACAACTGTAATGCGGATATGTGACCGTTGGATGCAGGAGGGTACGACGGACCGACGTGTTCGATCGCATCCACCTCAGTGCACCACGTGACGTGATGACAGGAACATTGTGCGCATGGCAGTGACGGATCGCTCAGTCACATCACGAACCATAGCACTGCACATTCAGTCTGTAACGCATCATGTCTGCGCGTACCATTCGACGCCGTTTACAGCAGAGTGGTTTGTCCGCAAGACGTCCATTGCTTCGCCTACCGTTGACGCAGAACCACAGACGTCACCGCCGCCAATCGTGCGATGAAAGAAGGATGTGGACGGCAGAATGGAATGCAATTGTCTTTACTGACGAGTCACGCTTCTGTCTGCAACACCATGATGGTCGGATTCGAGTCTGAAGACACCGCGGAGAGAGAATGCTGAACAGCTGCGTTATGCACCGCCACATTGATCCTGCACCGGGTATTATGGTATGGATCGGTATTGGTTATCACTCTCGCATTCCTCTAAGTAGGCATTCGCCGGTACTTTAAACAGCCAGAACTACATCTCCAAGGTGTTGGAGCCAGTTGTCCTTTCCTTACATTCAGGGTTTGCCCTACAGCCATATTTCAACAGGATAATGCGTGCGACGTGTGGTCGCGACCACACGTCGCACGCATTGTTCAAGGGTTCTTCATCAATCGGCTAGATTGAATTCCTTCCCCGGCCGGCTCGCTCTGCGGATCTTTCGCCAATAGAAAACATGCAGTCCATGGTTGCTGAACGATTAACTCAGATTACATCCACAAGGCTGCCACACCTATTCAACTTTGGCAACGTTTGGAAGCTGCTTGGTCTGCTGTACCCCAAGAACACCTCCAAAGTCTCTTTGAATCAATGCCGAGGCGTGTGGCAGCGGTGATCTCCAACAATGGCGGCTACTCTGGCTACTGATTCTGGAAGGAACCACACTTCACAGAAGTCTATAAATTTAATCATTTGATACTTGGTCAACATGTTATCTACTAAATAAATTTTGTTGTGATATTTCTTGTCTTTCTTGGTGTTGCAATTTGGGTGGCCAGGAGTGTATTCTTTAGTCATTAAGTTATTTTTAGTAGTTTTCGTCAATTTTATTTTTAGATAGTAGCTGAATGAACTGAACTGAGTTTCTGCGTCTTAAAAATGTGCGTTGTTTGAGAGCGCTGTTAAATGAACATTGAATTCATAACTGCCGTGTTCAGTTTTCATTTATAATATTGTTAATCATTATTTTGTTTTTTTTTAACATTTCTAATCATTTTGTATAACAATGAAGCTGTCTGATCTTTGTCAATCGAGTATTATATATCACAACTGTTGCAAATATATTTCTGCATTAAATAGGAAGAAAAATAAAAATTACAGGGATTTTAAACAATACACAAAAAGCATTATCCCCCATTGTTTTTTATGAAATCATTTCATATTTTCATTCTGAAGTCGTGTTTCTTTAATAAACAAGTTTTGAAGCTGAGATATGTAAAATAATTTTTGATAATTTTTTAAATAATAATTTGTTTGGTAATTTTTTCTTTGATGGTTTTAAATAAATATTTTCCAATCAGTTAAGACTTTTTATTGCTGTGACGTTAGTGCGTTTTTTAAAAAAACGAATATTTTAAGTTGTTTTTAAAGATACGAATTTTTTGAAGCGATAATATCAGTTAAATATAATGAAGGGACTGATATCTGTGTACCTTGTTTGTATATATGGTCCTAAATGCTATTATTCAGTTAATAAAAAGGCAGTATTCCAGTGATATAAAATACGTTGCTAAGCGATGTAAATTTTAAGACACTAGATCACCTAGCAGCGATGCATTTATAACGTGTCTCCTGCGAATGCTGAAAGTATCAATAGCAGAAGTTAAGCCCATTTAATATCCATCTCGTGCACAGTCTTGCATGAATTTACTAAAGTAAGTGTAAAAAAGCACTTGCTGGTTGTCTATCCCTGTAAGGCCTTAATTTAATTCATTTTTAGATAAAATGACTAATATTTTCATCAAATATGAAATGATGCAAACAATCAAGCTATTAAACCAGTAGTCTCAACTGGCGGCCCGCGAGTCAAATGCGGCCTGCAAATATATTTCAGTTATATATTTGTTGCAAATACGATGTTTCAAAGATTTTTAATTATCTAAAGTCCGAGTTTGTATCATTTTCATTTCCATTAAAAAGGAGTATGAATAACGCACCAGCAACTCTATAAATGGAGCTGATTAATTTACAGTATGACATAAATCTTATTCAAAGATCTGGAGATACAGATTTCATTAACATTTATTCGTACTTGTTAAAAAATAAATAAGCTCCGTTACGAGTTTTTGCACTAAGAATAATCGCTTTGTTTAGGAATACATTTATATGTGAACAGCACTTTTTTACAGTTGAAAATTAATAAGTAAAGAACCTGACTGACCGACAAACACCTACAATCTGTAATGAAGTTATTTCTAGTAATTTCTTACCGAGGCTACAAATGTGATCAGACTCGAAATGCAATCAATTGTTAAGTTATAGTAAGAAATAAAGCCGTTTTTAATTATTTGATACTAACATATGTATTTTATGCGTCAAAGAAACATTTAATATGTGAGAAAAAATGACTAGGTTGTTATTATTTTTTATTCTCAAGTTGTAGAGTTATTAGGATTTTTTGGAAGCCAGAGAGATGAAAAATTATCAACCGCCTTCGCCGGGAATCGAACTACGGACCTCGGGATACCGACCCAGCGTGCTACCGTTACACCACGAACGCACGGTAAGGAAGTGGGAGAAATACCTTATAAAGTTCTGGGTACTTGGCAGATATTTTCTGAAAACGTAGACGGTTTAGATGATTTGTTTATTTCTAGTTTAAATTAAAACACGATAAAATTATTTGAAATAAATTATAGTTTAAGATTTTAATATTTAGCTGTTAATGTATTTGAATTGCAAAGCGTAACATGCAAAAATATCTTACAGGTACTTAACTTTATTTCAGTAGAAATAAGTACAAATTTGAATTCTTTCTCTATGCGATGTTATTATCATTGTTTATGTACGTTTTAATAAATATTAGTAAGCAAAAGAATTTTTTTTATTTTGTTAATAAAAATTTCTCAGTTTTAATCAAGATAAGAGTTCTGGTCCATCAGTTGCTTTCAGGTCGCTCATTCTGCCTGTATGCTGTTTGAGTTTGTGACCATTAATTGCATTTTGTTTTTTAAACTGTTCAAAATCGAGCCTGAGAATAAACTACTAGTATTCAAAGCTCTCAAGCACTTGACCACTGGTGGGTCCAATAAAATAGTGAAAAATGTTGCTGAAATGAATGATAAAAAATAACGTAATGGGTTATCAGTTTCAAATGTATATAAAACAAGATGATCTACTTCGCAGCACCTCACAGAATGAAAATTATCAGGTTCAGCAACTCATAACAGCAGAAAGGTCTCGAATAATACAGTAAACTGATCAAAGCAAGAATTTTAGTTCTAATGATTGACAGCAGAATCTGATAGTAATTATATAATGTAAAGCTATATGCCCATTGTCTCTTAAGTAGTAACTCTCTTATTTATTTTTCCTAGTCACTAGTCTGAGCAGGAGGTTGGCGGATAAAGTTGCGAAACACGGTTAATTAATCTCGCATTTTATTCCGGGTGGTTGAATTGGTTAGTTTTACAGGTTTTCTAATTTTTCTCATAAGAAATGACAATATGTTCTAGTTTCTTTTATGAAGTTCATCATGAAGACATCCCTTTCCGTGGGTAGATAACCTTCGTGTGCTTTATCATAATCTAAAAATCCAATCTAATTCAACACATTATTGTGAACTTTGTAGAAAAGAGAAGCTTATTTGGAATACAATTGTTATCTTATCGTCGTTTGTGGGATTATTACGCTTCTATCCGAATACCATTCTTGTTCACACGTACGTATGGGGACGGCGAGTTGAATGAAGATACTCTAGAGTAGAGCCTGTAAGGTATACTAAGCAGAAACTCGGACTCATGATGCTGCACCTGACCATATATAGAATATTTTAGATAAGACGAAATGACAACATGAATTTTTTCATGGCTTTCCCCATTGTAACGTAAATAAAAGTCTCATATGTATCAGCGTCTTCTCTCAATTCTTCCGTTCAGTGGGTATGTCGTTCACGTTAGGATCCTGCTTCTCAGTTTCCATATACATCTGTCCTTAGAGATACAGAGAGCACCTGAACAGCTACAGACTGATTATTCTTCCGGATTACATATGCTGTTTGATTGAATCATCTGATAATGCCTTGGTTCATATACTGAGCATAATAACAAATTCCAACTGATATATTCCTAGCTTTATTATTAAATAGAGCTATAAATGTTAGCTTTTATAATAATTATTTTACATGCGCTGCTATCAGCATAGCTAATTTAATGCATATGTTTCTTTTTAAGTGGGGCAACTTCGATGAACTGCAGATCGCGATTAGAAGTGATGTTTGCAGTTATATATTTCAAAAGGATACTTTAATGAAAATACTGTTGGAAGAGTTTTGCGGGAAGACTATTTACAGGAAGCATTTTTTAGGTGATGCGTGCATAAGGACTTTAAAAATAATTACATAAGCAATAAAACAGAGTAAAATTTTTATTTTCTTTCTTCATGTGCTACAAAATATTTATATACTGTCCAAATAATTCGCAAAGAGACCTTAATGATTTTATCAAAATCGCTTCATGTAAAATCTTGAAGTAATGAATGAGAATGAAGTAAAAAATTAAATATATTTAGGAATGATTTGAAGATAATAAATTTTAAGTAATATTTGACTTAATAATAATAAAAACTTGGGAATAATGTAGCTTGAAATGTTAGTTCAAAAATGATAACAAAGTAAGTTAAAGAAAACAAGAAGTTTATTTCTTATTTTCATTATGTTACAAAATAAAATTTAAATGAATTTCAAACAAGATGCAAAGAGACCATACTTTTGTGAACAACTGATTTCATGCTGTTTTAAGATTTTTTAATGAAATGTCAAAGGAAATCCAACTCTACCATTTGAAAAGAATCTTGACACGTTTTCCTTCCCTTTTTTTTAAAATTTTTTTATTTTACGTTTACTTACCTCATATACTTCTTTCGAGATGTCCAAAGCCTTGATCTTTCTCAATTCTCCTTTTTTAAAGCTATTATTATTTATTGAAAATTCTTATTGTTTTATAATTCTGATTTTAAACAAGATTTTTGAAATGTTTAGTTAATTTAAGAAATTGTTCATAAAATTATCTGTTTTGTACCCTTTGGTCTATGCATTAGATTTAAGAGAACTACAAGAAAATATCTTGATTTAATATTGACTAACCTCATAATTTAATGTTTTTGCTCCTCAGGTAAGGATTAAAGAGTTAAGTTTTGCTTCTTACTTTAAAAAGGATCTCGAGAAGCTAAAATCAAAAGTTCGATATAAAGTATTTTCTTGTTCTTCATCTTTATAGTAAACTAAAAAGGTATTGTAATGCGTGATTGTGCAGCATGTTTATACTTTTTTAGTTGATCTGAAAACAAGGATTGGGCAACATTTTTCTTTTTGATCATTTAATGAAAATCTGCATGAAAGGAAGTTTGAAATGAAGGAGTGTTGATAATTTAAAAGATTATGAGAAGGAAAATTCTTCTTAAAATTTCATTTATAATTTAAATAATTTCTTATGACTATAAAGGAAGTCAGCTGTATTGCTTGAACTGCTTATGAAATTAATGACATTCTCAACATTTATCGATTTAATGTACTGCAGTTTATTCTACTAGAATTTATGTAAACTATTAACTTGTTAGTTTAATAGATAAAAATGCAATGAAATAAACTGCGACTTAAAATTTCACGCCATAATTTTTAATCAATTATTAAATACACAGTATGTCTACAACGTTTTGGGACTGAAATCATAAAATAATTAAAGGTTGATAAAAACGTGTGAACTATTTCTAAGCTTTCTGCTTGTATTTTCTTAATGTCATTCACCTCCTGGCACCTTCATAAAGCTGCTAGCTGCTTTTGTTGAAATCAGCTATTTAATATTATAATTAATATAATGCATTCTTCTAAATTTTTGAAGTGTTTTCAAACAGTGGCTCCTTAAGGTCAGATTTCACTTTGGGAACCAAAAAATAATCCATACGTAACAAACCAGGTTAGTAAGGGCAAGTAGGCGGTGGCAAACATTTTCAATGTTATTCGGTATAAGGGCAACCAAGCTTAGGTTATCATCAACATCTTCAAATAGCTCAACATTAAAAATCAAAAACTGTAGATTGCCTTATTGTTTGATCTCCGTAAATTGTATATCCACGTTTTGGTGTTCCTTTTTACTTTTATACTAAACTTTATCTCTAATTGTTGTTCATTTTATAATTTTGAGAAAATAAGTATCGGATGCATAAAAAAACAAACAAATAACGCCATATAAACTTCTCGTCTAAAAGAATCCATATTTTACAGTAAGAAAAGTAATTATTGATGCTAGTCGTTTCTGAGAGTGTTATATTACAGGTGCAATAATTCAGTCATCAAACTTTGCACAGGCATTATGTAAACGATAAAACTTTTGCATAATGTCTTCTTTTTACATTGCTTTCACTGATTAATGTTTTCTTGAACAAACAGCGTTTAACATACAAAACCTTTAAATATATAAGGGAAACATATGTTAAAGAAACTTCTTAAAGTTTAAAATAAGTCTACTGATATGTCAGATAAAGTTCAGACCATGAAGCTGTTTATTTCAGTCTTTTATGAATATAATCACAGAAAATTTACTTAATTTTTTTATTCATTTTAGGTTCAACAGCATGAAGATCTACTTTGTGATAACGTTACTCGGCATTACCGTAACGTATGCGACTCAAAGCGTAAAACGATTTCGTTCAGTACCTTCAGAGACTGAAGAATTAGTAAGGGCCAGTAATGGATTTGGATTTGAAATACTGAAGCTTTTATCCCAATCTAAAAATGTCTTTATATCTCCCATTAGCGTGTCAATGCTGATGGGTTTAGTATATTCAGGAACACGAAACGTAACTGCTAGTGAAATACAAAGTACTATGCATTATCCACCAAATGTACATGCTGCATTTAAAAGCATATTAGGTGTCATTAAACCTCCAGAAGGAAAAATGAATTCTGCTCAAGGTTACCAGTTAGAAATGGCAAATGCTATGCTGGTGGATAAGTTTTTCAACATTTTGCCACGATACAAAGAAGAAAGTAGGCTGTTTTACGATGCAGCGGTAGAAAGTGTTAGTTTTTCTTTGCACCCCGAAGCTGCAGTTGATTCTGTAAATGGCTGGGTAGCATGGAGAACGAAAAACAAGATAGTGAAAGTACTTGAAGAGCCATTAGAGCCGTTAACCAAATTATTTTTGATGAATGCCGTTTACTTTAAAGGAACGTGGAAAACGAAATTTGATCAACGATTAACAATGCCAGATACATTTTACAACGATGGTCGAGTGCCAAAAACTGTGCCAATGATGCGACAGAAACGAAAATTTCGATACGGATTTGAGGGACGCATTCAAGGACACGTACTCGAATTACCATACTCTGGAGATGATATTAAAATGCTTATTCTACTTCCAGAAAAACGCGACGGTTTGCGTGAAATGGAATCAAAATTATCGAATAATATGTTAGAAGATATATCTACAGGACTTCGAGAAGTTTCTGTTCAAGTAACTTTGCCAAGATTTAGTCTGACAGACGAATACGATCTGATACCAATACTTAAAATGCTTGGAATTAATTCCTTGTTTGATGCTGATACCGCAGATTTATCTGGAATAAGTCAAAAGCAAGGACTTTACGTTACTAAAGTAGTGCACAAATGTGCAGTTGAAGTCAACGAAGAAGGAAGCGAAGCAGCAGCTGTTACAGGTGTCTCAGCAGGCGTTCGAACGGGAGGGCCATTGGTCCCTCTCTTCACTGCTGATCATCCATTCATCTTTTTCGTGAAAGATCTTCGGTTTAATTTGACTCTTTTCCTTGGAAGGGTAGCAGTTTTATAGAAGAAAAATAATATAGGGCTTATTCAGAGTCTTTTTAATTTCGCATTTATTGATAATTGGCATGCAATTTCTGTTATTCTGGAATTTAGAAATTATTGTTTTTATTCATATAAAGTATAAGTTGTCTGGATATAATCAAATTTAGTAGAACTACCAAAATTATAGACTTGCCAAAATTTGAGACTTATGCTATGCATGAGCTTCTAAATTTAGAGAACTGAGTTTAAGATAAGTGCCAAAAGTGTAAAATACATTTAGGAGTTTTCTTAGAAGTGCTGCAGGACAGCACATGAAGAATGCAAGGTTTAGTTCTTTTTTTTCGACAAAAAATCCAGCTTTTTGCAATAAAATGATTTTATAGCTTATTTTAAATTAGTGTTGTAATTTTTTTTATTGAAATAATCTGACTTCTGTTTAAACACCGACAGGAAAATTTAATTTAAATTTTGTGTTCTTATTTCTGTGAAAAAATGGGAGAAAATTGACCTTTATTTGTTTAGGGAAAAGACTCGACTGAAATAAAAAATTTTAAATTTATTACTTACTTTATTTTCATCTGACAATCAACTAACATCTCACAAATTCCACTTTTCCAAACTGAATCTCCCAAACTTCTAATTTATAGTTATTGTTTGAAGTTTCCTACGTAAAGCATAAGTATAAAATAAATTGTTTATACATTAACCACACCAGAAGCTCCTTTTACAGCTCAGTATCTGACCTTCTTTTCTTTCTTTCTTTCTTTTTTTTTTTTTTCTTTTTTTTTCTAAACTAACAATATTACCGGGTATAACTTTGAAAAGTACTAGAAGAAATGAGCCTTAAGTCCTTCCACATTGGAGGATAAAATGTTCTTCAAAGAATACTCACTCAGTAAGAAAGACCATTTGATTTACTTACTAAATTAGCAGATTTCTTTTCAATTAAGAATATTAAAACTATACCTATGCTTGAAATCATAATTTAAAAAGTTCTTTTATTTTCTTATAACTTTGGTATATATTTAAATAATATAAATGTAGGATTTCATATAATAACTAAAGTAGTTAACTAAAGTTAAGAAAATAACTAAAGTAGTTACTTGGACTGAATGCGTTTCCATAAATGCATATATTATCACAGCTTTTTCGAGGACAAAGTATAGCTTTATAATAAATAAAATTAAATGTGTTATTTGAAATAAAACATTGCAGATAATATTTAAACAAAATGGGATATATTTCTTGTTTTATTTTACATTTTACGAAGGCATATCATGCAAGCATTTTCATCTGCGTTTTTTCGGAAATATTTTGTTGCAAAAAAGAGATTTTCGGATGACATTTGAGTACACAGATAAAATTAGCAATTTTACCAGTTTTATTTTTCTGAATAAATTTTGTAAAAAAAATGATGATTTTAATGAATGAAAGTTGGGGCTTTATTTCAAGAAACCTTTTTACTAGAGTCTAAAACTTACATACCTTTGCTTGCTTAAGATTTCTAAAATTATTATTCTTACATTACGCTATTTCAATAGAACATTCTGTAGTCCTGTTGCTATGTAAAAGTAAAATCGGCAAAATTACTAGAATTCTTTTATGTTTTGAATAAAATCTCATTTTATATAGTAAACTTCTGTTTAATAATAACTTCCGGTTATGTAGTGATCTGCTATTTTAAGCAATTGAAAGAAGACGTGGGAGGAATCTTAGATTTTGTTGAAACCGAATCTTAAAAGGTTTTCGAATCTCCCTTTATATAACAATAAGACGAAGAAGGAAAAAGACAAATTACTCTTACTTCATATAAAACGGTTTCAGTTAAAAAAATTTAAAGTTAATAAAAAACAAATTTTAAAATACTATTTAAAAATTGACCCATATTAATTAAGCAAATAAAATCGAAATTCAGTATAAGTACATTATTGAAACTTGAGATACATTTTCTCAGTAAAATTTGATAAAACATATTTGACTAAAAATTAAAAACTTTTTGTATTTTTCCAGAGCCTTTTTAAATGAAATATAGAGTAGGAATTATTTTAACATTTGATATAGATAAATATATAATATGGAATATTATATTATCTTCAGAAAATTAAGAGTGACGTAAAGGGCGTTTAAGAGGTGATTTTGATGATCTAGACCATTTGAAATTGCAACAATCATGTTCTTTTATGAATGAATGTTTCGACAGGACCTCAATAAAACTAACCTTGCCAAAGTTTTGCCTTAAAACACTTACAAAAGATTGGAAACAAAACGAAAAATTTGAAAATAAAAATACAAAGTATTTGAAAAATAAAAAAAAATAAAATGTATATATTTGAATTTGTTTACAAAATGTTTGAAAAATAAAAAATTGCAAAGATTCGAGGTTTCGATTCTGGAAGCCTTTTAAAGATTCATGGTATTTTAGGATTCAAGGTTTTTAGTATCCGACCCCTAGCTGAAAGCCAATAAAATATGTTCATATTTTCCATGTTTATATAATGCAAAATGTGAGTTTCTGGCGAAATTAAAATACACTGAAAAGGCAGGAAATCATGACTTATATGAAAGCTAGTTTTAAGTCCATTAAAGTTTTTTTTAAAAAGGTGTTTAATTTCGGAAAATTAAAGTACGTCTTTGAATAAACTTACACATATTATCTCAGTTAATCACTCAAAATTTCTTACTGTAAATAAGAAATTTCAAATTAAAATAAAAAAGTATTTAGAAGGTTACTCATACTTCTACGGTTAATTCTAAAATTTTTGCACTTATTGCCTAATCTCTTGCTTTAGATATTATGAAATACTTACCAGTGAACACAGAATTAACGCTAAGCTGTTTTCATTACATTCCAGATTGCGTAATAAATATACACATAAATAAATGAAGATGAAAGTTTCTTACCTCCTCATCCTCGAATTAAGCTCCTATATCGACAGATAATGGAGATTAAGTTATACAAACCTGATTTTATGCTTGATAACAAAGAGGTACACTAGAGTTTTACTCTTTATCCTTACCTTAAATATCCAGTACTTTTTGTTCGGTGACTGTCAGTATGAAAGAATAAACTACAAGAATGTTTGTTATTCTCCTAAATTTTATTACGGTCTCGACATTTAAGTAAAACAGTGACTGCTTGAATTACAAGGCTCTTGCATGACAGCGTAATTTTTCCTTTCGGCTTGACAGGAATTATTTGAAATGAACGAAAGTTACAAAAATATCCATTGGCGTACAAGCCGAGCCAGCATACTCTTGATCACGCAGCTTGGGAAAAGTAACTTAGAATATTGCGTGAGATTTGGACATAACAAAATATTAAGACATTGTGAACACGTATACCAATGTGCCATTCAAGTGATGTAAAGCGTCCATTGTTAATTAAAGTGTACAGAACACAGTTATATTTTAGAGACACGATGAAAATGTATAAAATAGTGAACTCTTTTAGAAAACACGAAATGTTTTTACAGTGTTACATACATTATAGAGAAGTGCGAAAGATGGGGTAATCATGTATGGTTGATTTGAATTTAATTATAAGTTGCGTACTATTTTATTATCCTACAAACCGTGTTACCAAAATGGGCGTTTCGCTACGCTTGAGCCATCACTGAAAGATGCACATTGAAATATTGTGTAAATAATGAAATAGAGAAATGCTTTGCATACTTTTCGGAAAGATAACACAAGAATATCACATACATAATACCGTACCTTGCATATTAAGGGCACAGTTAAATTTCTTATCAAAGACCACATAATTATTGCCTTTTGGTCCAAAAATGGAACTGATATGTTTGCAGGTGGTTCAACGATTCGAAGAAAAAACAAAGGTACTACAATAACAATGTCCTCTTTAATTTCTAATTTATGGTTCGGATTTATAAGACCAAAACTTTGTCCTTCCTAGAAATAAAACTTTGTATCCATATTGAAAATATATAAAATATAACATAAATATTGACGATCTATATAAATAACTTTAGAGAAAAGCATAAAAATCGACTACAACTCAATTTACATATTTACAAATAAGCACATGTAAAAAACACAGCATAGTCGAAGATAATCTGTATAATAAATACGACTTACACACAAATAAGTTAAACACATAAACATAATTAACTTCAATAAATTTCTACAATGTACACAAAGTATACTGAAGAACAAGTGACTAGGTTATTTGAAATACGCAACAAGATACAGTAAATGTTACAAACCGCATTTTGAAAAATATCCAAGCTCTTTAATAATAAATAATATTTTAAATAATAAGAGATTTTACATAAGTGACTAGTATTGCTCTCTTATAGGGTAAGACTCACATGCTGTAAATTTATGATACGATCGATGTGTAAGTAAGGAAATGTAAAATTTATTTTCGAGTTTTCATTCGAATTCTCTTACAATTCTCCTATGTCACTGGAGCTGCACTTTGACAGAAGAAAAAATAAATAAATTAGCAGCATTCAGAGCAGTAAATTAGTATCCTAATCATACAAAGCATCAAAAAATGCAAACAGCTCTATCACGAACATTTTTGGCACAAAAGTGAGAATAAAATAAGTTACAAAACACTAAACATGTACAGATTTGGCAATCAATGTGAAAGCTCTATGGAAAGAATACGAAACAAATTTTACGATGCTGCTCCTACAAATGGATATAAATTCCGAAAAATTTAATTTTTTCTCATGCGAAATTCAGCATATTATGTAGCAATGCCAAATTCAATAAAGAATATTTGTTTCAACACACGCTTTTCGAAGTATTTAAATTCGGTATATTTCATATCAGTTTCAGATTTTATTTTGACTTAATATTTTAAACATATTGCAGATTGAGTTTCTAGTATAGAAGTCAAAGCTTTTTTTGACGGTAATGTTATTTCTACATTGAATGATTAATTATTCATAAAGTTTTAACAAATTATTTACATTTCTTAAATTAAAAGAATAAACAATGCATGCTTGTGTAACGACAGCACTGATTTAGTAAAGTTTAATACGAAAATTTTGTTTCAGAGGAAATTATTTAAAAATAGAATAAAAATCTTTTAGAAATTTAAGAGTGGTATTTCAAAATGCCAGAGAATTAAATTTCAAAGATCGTTTTCTAAACAATGTAGACAACAACGGAATATAAAAAATATAAAAAAGGGAATTAATGACAAATATAATAATGAAAAACATGTGCACTTCGATCAATCAAACATGGTAAAAGCGTAAGAAAATTTACACCACGTGTGTCTCACTTCTGTTTCATCTTAAACGTAACACAATATGAAATGACACCTCCAAAACACGGTTTACTTTCACAGATTACATAAATAATAAATATAAATAAAGGCAAATAAATAGGACCACCTGGTCAGGAATGTTAATTTTTAAACGCTTTTTTGAGATCGGGAAACATTGTAATATTTTAATATCATAAATGTCAAATAAATAATCCATTTCTTGTACTGACGGCATAGTAAATTCTTATTTACCACAATTTGGCCTGACTAAACGTTTCAGTCAGAACAGACACACTGACATTATGTACATACAAAAAAATAAGTAAAAATGCGACCCTCCTTTCATACAATTGAGCGAAATTCTACAAAATACTCGTACCTCCGCGAAAATGATTCAGGATTCAATGTGTGTGAACAGTGGAAACAGAAAAAAAAATCTTTCTGTATGTAAAACAGAAATTCTAAACTTCAAGCTTCTTTCGCATCTCAACAAGCAGCTCTTTCTGGCAGGCATGTCCTAACACAGCCTTGTTTTTTTTTTTGGACAGGCCGTAGCATTATTCACAATTGCCAGATGTGTGGTAGATAGACCATAATGTTAGAAGTATTTATTCTTTAAAAAACACCAGTGTTTCATAATGCAAATCTGCATATTTATATTATGCTGATAGTGCTTTTCAATTAATTAAGAATAATAGGGCTTCATACATAAAGGAACTTTAAAGGATACAAGATATGCTCAAAATAGCAATACCGTAGCTGAAACTTAAAGAACATATTCAAAAAACGTGGAATGCTCAGAATACATCTTTGAAAGAATTACACATTTTGATACATTAATTTTATATTTATAGATAATTGTCGATGATGTAGTAGAGTAAATGAAGAATCATTAAAAAATCATTCATATTTTCCTGTTAAATGCAATAAGTAGTAAATATCATAGATCTTCGACAATGTTTCAACGCGAATAAAAGCTGATAGG